GTAGGGCTGTTCTTTAGGTTGAAAAAGGAGAAATAAAATTGTCAGAGAAAAGGAGTGTAGACAGGGAAGAGTTGAGTTCCACTCTCTAAGCAGTCTTCAGATTCCAGATACGATTTGGAAGAGAGGACCAGCAGGTGCTTGTCTTCTATAAATCTTTGCAATTAATAGATTTTTGGAGGTCTGGACTAACATAATTTTAAAAATGCTTGATTTAAAAAAAAAAGCCAAAAATACCTGTTAGCAGAATGGTGCATATATGCGCAGTCCAAATGTGACTGTATCTGGAGAATATTTTTATTCTGTTGAGTCTGAGGATTTTAAAAAACAGATGGCTTGGTGAATCTTGGAAGGGATTTTGCTTGCTCTTTGTATTTCTTGATGAGAATGTTGGTGTAATATAAAGTCATGGTAGTAGTGTTTCCCTTACTGTCTTTTTCTTAACTTCATGAGCTGCACTGTGAAGTTTGGGTCTCAAGAACAGCTGGGTCAAAGAAGTATTCAGGCAGTGGGGCCACAGTTCGCAGAGATTCCCTCATATTGTTCCCCCTGCACATCCAGGTCAGTGTGCAGTGGGAAAGGCTTGAGGTGAGAAGGTTGCACCAGTGCAGAAGACTTCACAAGTAGGTTGCATGTTATTAAAAGTGAGTGAGATGTTATCAGTACGAAACCTGAAATACCTTTAATGAAATTAACTCCTAAAAATAACAGTTTAGAAACCCAGTGGCAATGGAGAATTTAGCCTTGTTTCTCCCACAGAGATAGTGGTTAATCCATTAAGTGAAACTGAGAAGAAAATACTCTTCTCAAGTACTGTGTTGTGTAAAGAAAGTGATTAAACCACATCTGTAAGCCTGCCTTAGCCATAAATCTTGGCAAGCTGAGTACTTGACTTTTTTGATAGGTATTTGAGATGTTAGGCCTTAGTTAATCAAGAATAGATATTCCAAGGTCTCTGCTTTGTGGGGGAGCAACACAAGGGAATCTCTGCTAACTGTGGCCCCTACTGCCTGAATACTTCTTTGACCCAGCTGTTCTTGAGACCCAAACTTCTCAGTGCAGCTCATGAAGTTAAGAGAAAAGCAGTAGGGGAAACACTACTACCATGACTTTATATTACACCAACATTCTCATCAAGAAGTACAAAGAGCAAGCAAAGCATAGTATAGTGTGTATTGTGTGCTTTGAAGTGAAGATGAAAGATGTGAAGAGTTTGTCATTTCATAAAGATACTGGGAATATTATGTATTCCTTTAAGAAGTTTGTAGCTGTGATTTAGAAAAAAAAATTATACATAAACTTGAGGGGATTGAACTTGTTAAAAAATAAGTTTATGCAAAGGCTTCAGTTTGCCGAAGATGGGAATTTTAGACTGCTGTATCTAGAACTTCTATGGTGTATGGTGTCAGCCTGTTTTGCCAAAGCTGATGTTCTTTAGTCATATGGCTTTGTTTATGGGGTTCAGCACTTCAGATAGAAGGTCAGTTAGGAAACACACTTTATTAAAAGCCAGTTCTGACATGCTTGTATTTTCCTCCAGTTTTCAAGCCTTGCCTGTTAACTTTTGAAGATTGAAACATAATTTATTGTCTCTGGAATGAGAGAGGTGGATTTTTTTTTCCCTTTTCAACAGCAGTGAGGGAAATGAATGAAAATTCCCTCATTATTTTGTAAGACCTGGGGACACAAAGATAATATCTGTGTGATAAAACCGAGGTTCAGCAATTTGTCCTCAGCTACTAAAGTTTAATTGAAAGGGTGAGAAGTGGAGAATGCCTTAAATAACTAAAATAAATAA